GCGATGATTTGTCTTTGGAAAATTCCAGGAATCCACTCCTGCCTTCAAAATGCATACATTACTTTATCCAAAGCTGATGGAGGACGTGTTTGTAGACAGAGATAATATTGATTACTAGACTAAATAATGCTGCTGGAAGAAAAAACATTTTGAGTTGCAAGCCTTTAAGTACTTATTCTGGTAAAGGGAGTGAGAAATCTGAAATCCTCTGTGTTACTTCTGTTTAAATAGCAGCAGATAAGACATTGTAAAGACTTTCAACAACTCCACCCTCTCCCAGGCAGCGTACTCATGTTTGCTAAGCAGGCTGTGGTATCGCATGCACAGAGCAATTGTTAGGAGGCTTAGTGTCAGAACTGCAGATAAGTAGGTGCAGCTCCAGGATCTCCTTGTGACGAGCATCTGCTAAATATTTAGCTTCTGTGATCAAGAGGTGCTTCGTATTTGCTCTATTGTCTTCAACGAGGGTTTTAGGAACTTAACAGTTCTGAAAATTTATTTTATTTTACTTTATTCTTGATAAAATAGGGAATATGTTGCCAGATGAACATTGCAGTAAACCAAAATAACAAAATGTCCTGCTGAAAGAAAAAGGTGAGAGAGGGGATCAGCTGGAAAAAACTTTATTTGTTTTAAGTATGCTAAAGATGTGTCTGAAAAAGTCTGCTTCAGGTTTGTGATCAGATTGCCCCTGTGTAAATTTTTAAGAGGGAGAGGGCACAGCAGATGGACTGGGACTGAAATACCTGATCCTTCTCTATTAAAAACCTGCTGCTGCAAATTTCCTTCTAAAAATGAGGCAAATAACAGAGAACCTACTATAACAGTGGCTCATCTGTTCAGTCATTTGATGTATCTCATTATCGTTGCAGTTACTGGGACTCGGCTTTCTCTTGTGCATGAGCACAATAGTGGCACCATATTGAAATGTGTAAATATATTTGAAGAAAAGATATGAAACACCTCCTCTGTACTGACGACATGATTCACTTAGAATCCATGAAACCCTGAGAAAATGCTGCTGCCATGAGTTCCCAATTGCTTTTGTTCCTCAGCTTGGCTTTAATGTACATACAATTTTATCTAATATATTTGCCTGAGTATTAAAAATGAGTAAATAAAAATTGTCATTTAAACAGTTCCTGCCAATGTCACGTAGTCCTTGCTCACACTTCTATGCCTAAGAGTGATGGTACAGAAATAGATCAGGTTAAGGTCAGTACACGTAGTCCAAATCTGTAACACAGACACTTCTTACTCCTGTCTATGATAGCCCCTCAGTAAAGCTTTTAGGAGGAAATGAAGGCTTCAAGAAGGATAGCGGTAAGGTCATGGACGAGAGCTGCTTTTTCTGGCACCATCTCTACTGTCTCTGTGCCCCTGCCCACTCTAGCTCTTGCAGAATTTCCAGTTCAAGGAGGAAGTGGGCCATTTGGTTACCAGCCCCATGTTAGGTCCCACTGAGTCACATAGCCAGGAGGAGCTGCAGAAATGCTTCACACCATCAGGAAGTATTACCAAGTGGCGCCACTGATATGTGCCACAGCCTTTGGCCCATCACCAGTGTTCCACAGTGCTTTTGCGCCCAAATTCTCTGGTGAATCTGGTGTGTGGAAAACATCTCTTAGGGAAAAGAAAAGAAAAAAAAAAAAAAAAAAAAAAAAAAAGAAAGAAAGAAAGAAACAAATGAAAGGAACTCTATGAATCCAGATGTTGGAATTTTCCAATCCACTTAGCAAGACAAGATAAGCAGGGAATAATCCTTGTTTATATAACGGTGTTGGTTATTTTTTTGTTTTGTTTTGTTTTTTTCCGGTTTTGCTTGATTGTTTTTAAATAAAACCTGCAACCAACAGGCTTTTTTTTTTTTTTCCTTGAGGTTGGTTTGCTCTTTTTCTGAAAGCCACAGTAAGAAATTTCGTGAGACCCCGCATCCCCTCGGGCTGAGTAGAGCGGAGCCGGCCAGAGCCCGCAGGGCCGGCGGTCTTCCACAGGGGGGCGCCATGGTGCCGCCGCGGCGCGCCGCCCCGCGCAGGTGCTGTGGCGGGGCCGTGCTCGGTGCCCCCAGTATCCCAGGGCCCGACGTCCAGCTGGGGAATGGTCCTTCCTCACCCTGCCCAGCGGCTGTCCGTACTTTCTTCAGACCCGGCGGAATAGGCGGAGGATAACACACATCAGCACCTCTTTTTCCACCCAGCGTGTCTTGCGTAGCGGAGCGGCTTAAGGCTGATCTCCGTACCGAATAAAGCAGTGTGGCTATTTATGGACGTGGCTTAAAGAGGAGCAGATCTCATGTACCATGTTCGAAGTTCTTGAAAAACAGCCAAAGTACAGAGGTCAAGTTTCCTGTGCTAAAAGCAACCTAATGGGACACAGGGCTGCAGTGTCATTGGCCAGTGTCTGATGGTAGCTGGAAAACTGGGTCATTGTGTGTTTTGCACTGATTACTGTGCTCAAAATATAAATTATTTTAACTTTTTTATAAGCAATATGGGATCAACTCAAAGGCCCATTGCTCTTTCAGCTGCATGAGCCACCGGGAGCATTACTGTGGGGTTCAGCTCAGGAAGACAAGGGTCAGGCCCCCAATATTGCTCAGAAGATGGTATTATGCATAAGAATATACAGAACTGTAATATCCCCTGGGATGTGACTCTTCATTAGAAATTAAGGGACAATGTAGGCAAAATGATTGTTTTGCAAATTTCCCCAGGGTCTACTTCTAAGAATTTGCAAAAATCCTTGGCAATGCCTAGCCCAACACCAGAGCCTTCAGCAGCTCTTGGGAGTTTTACAGAGTCGTACACCAATAGGCTTTGCCAGTATGCCCATGAAACTGCCTGCTCCTGGAAAAGGATTTAGATTAGATGTTGAGATTCTTTACTCAGAGTGGTGAGGTGCTGGCGCTACTGCCCAGAGAAGCTGTAGTGCCACATCCCTGGGGGCACTTAAGGCCTGGTTGGATGGAGCCCTAGGCAGCTGAGCTGGTGGGGGGCAACCCTACCCATGGCAAAGGGGGTTGAAACTGGATAACCTTTAAGGTTTCTTCTAACCTAAGCCATTCAACAATTCTATGATGTAAGTAGTGATGTCTCAACTGTGAAGAATTCTTTTGCTTAACCAACATTATGAAGCAAAAGTACTTTATAATATAAGTGGGAATATCTCCTTTTATTTTGGGAGAATGTAGGGGATTTAAACATTGATGCTGTTTGATATGCCCATAATTTGATGATCTGCTCTGTAAAAAGTTGATCAGAATCAGAAGATGCCCTCCAGAGCTCTACAGAAGAAAGCAGTGCAATGTGTGCAGATCAAACAGCCCTAGCACAGAAAAGGGATTTATATAGTGGCAAATTGGGCAAAGTACACCTGTATTCTTCTAAACACTCATATGTTATTTTAAATGCTCTTTTGATGTTCAGTCTGCTGCAGCACAACATGAGCAAGTGCTGGCTGGAACCGGTCTGTCATTTTTAAGCTCTTGGGTTCTCTAACATGAGCTGTTACCAACTGCTGGGACCATGTTATCATCACATTTTCCCAGAAGTGTTCACTTCCTTATATTTACTTTTGTTAATATTATAGCTTTTATGTATTTATTCATTTATTTTCCTCCTTGCCATCATAAAACATATTAACTCCTTCTTGTCCATGTAGGGCAAAGAAAACCAAATAGCACTTTACATCCCAGCTGGGACAGTTTTTATCAATTGTAATCAGTTTGTTTTCACCACTGGATTAATAACTCTGCATTTGCACTCCCTTGGTGCTGTGATATCCTCTCCTGTTTATGTGCCCAAGTTTAGACTTCAACTACCTCCGCCACGTTGCTCTTCTTTCTAATAAACTCAGAACAAATGTTGAAAAAGTTAAGCGAGGAGAAAGCATGGCGGCATCATACCTGTATTGAATTTGGGAAGTTAATGGGAATATGTGTATTACCAAGGCCTGGTCCTACAGTCCTCTCTGAAGCAATAACTTACAATTAACTTACATGTCAGCTTTGCCAAAGGTGGAGTGAGGGCAGAAGTCTGCAACAGTTGGCAATGAGGGAGCAAGATGTCAAAAAGTGGCCTTTTTTCCCCCTCACAAATATTTAAATCCATTATTTATGGATACTTTGGATTTGACTCAGTGGGCTTGGGCGGTAGCAATTCTATGGGAGAAAGGGGTGAGAGATATCCCGTGCAGGAATATTTTAGGAATATACACTAGCTTCTTCCTAAGTCTCTAGGAATGGAACGAGGTCAGTGCTGACGTGATGCAGATCTGGGCTTCGCTCCCCTCTGTTGGCCCTCTCTGGGAGAGGAGGCAGCCCACCACCCTCCTTCCCCAAGTTACAAGAAGTTATTACCTGTCAAACAATCTTTCGAAGTAGTTCTTTCAGATGAGATAATAAATATGCAAAAAGGAAAAAAAAAAAAGTCTACTATATAAATGAAAGCGGATTTATAAAATTACAAGTTTAATAGATAAATATAATAAATACTTTATGCATCATAACTCTGGACAACTACATTTAAAGCAAGTATGTTGGCAAGTCACAAAAAAGTCGCATCTCGGCAACTTTGTATTTCATAAAACCACACTGACAGGCATATTACAATGCTACGTATGAGGCTGTATGCTGTAAGTATGTTTAAATCCTGCTCACCTACCGAGTTCACCATGACATATATAGGGGTGCAGTGTACCTTAAATCCTGGAATGTCTTTTCGAACACCGACATGATACTACAGAGAGATGCTCTACTTACTGGGGACAGTGGGGGGAGTTTCAAAGAAAAATACTGGTAAATGACTTCTAGAAAAACTAAAGCATTTCTTAACTTTTTATTGACATTGGCAAATTAAAATAGAATAAATTAACAATATTTTCTCAAAAAAATGTTTTGTACAAAAATACTGTCAAAATTTCCTGAAAAGCTTTCAACACAGTAGTATCTTTTCATGTACGGAATAAACTATATTAGCACAGTGTCAAAATGCTGAAGATAGAAAATAATTAGAACTAAAATAAAAATTAAAAAAAAAAAAAAAAAAAAAAAAGAGAGATGGAAAGAAGACCTGTGAAATGTTTGCCACTAGTCAGCATTCCATCCACACCATATTATTGTCTGTACACATGGGGGAGGGGGAATGGGCAGCAGACTCTAAGTAATAGTATCACTTGTTCTGATCTGGAAAGGTTTGGCCCACATCTGCTAAGCTTCCAGTTTAGCATATCCGAAAAATAAAATAAAATAATGTATTCATTAGCCTGCACTGCGATGCATAGTTAAAAATTAAGCAAGATGGCAGCATTTGTGCAGTAGTATCTGCCCTTCAAAGTTCATGCAACCAACGAATGCCTTTTTCCCTGTTCCCTCAGAATTTAAATGCAGCTCGAGTCACTAGAAACCATCGTTTCCAAAATCCCCAAGATCAAGCAGTTTGCCGAGATTAACATCTATCTGTTCAGCACGGTGGGAGTGATGGGCACGTTCCTGCGAGGAAACCGGGAGAGAGGAAGGGGGCAAACAGCGCCCAAAGGCACAGTTCGATGAGAATGATCCCCGGGGGGACGGGGGAAGGATGGGAGGGAGAGGTGGGGGGGAGAGGACACGTGAATGTCGAGGCTACAAAAATAAGAAGTGGCAGCAATTAAAAAAAAAAAAAAAAAAAAAAAAAAAAAAAAAAAAAAAAAAAAAAAGAGTTTACGCAAGCGCATAGTTTACTCTGCTTTCCAGATTCTCACCTTTTCGGGCAGCGAAAAGTGAGACACCGCGTTGGGGGGAATGTTTTCACTCGCACCGCTAGAAAGTCCTTTGTTTGTTGGAAATGAATCAGCAGCTCACCCTGCTGGGCTGCTGTTTGCAAACGAAGTCCGTCATGAAGTCAAACTCGTTCTGTCCCAACCACAGCTCGGGCAGCTCCTTGATGCGATCCAGCCCCATTTCGATGACTAAGGACATGAGGACCTCCTCGTCGATGAAGTCAGTGTCTATGACATTGGGCGGCAGCATCGCCGCGGGGACGTGGGGCACGGCGGGCGGCAAGCCGCTGCCTCCGCCGCCGTGCTTGGGGTTGCAGTCCCTGAAATGCTGTCCGCCGCCGCTCAGCGGGTGGCCGCCGGGGTGCAAGTCCGGCACGTAGTGGCCGTGCGGGTACGGGTGGTGGCTGAAGTACTGGTTGTTGAGCTTCTGCAACTGCATGCTGGCGCTAAGCTGCCCTCCCGGGCTGCCCACGGGGGGGGCCATGAACTGGGAACCGCTGAAGCGGGCGGGGGGCGGCATGTTGCCGGCCGGGTGCCCCCCTCCCACGCCGCCCGGCCCCATGGCGTGCCGGACCCCGCCGCTCGCGTTCATATTGCCCGCTCCGTAATGTATGTGGTCTCCCATCAGGGCGCTGAAGGCGTGCGGCTGCTGCTGCTGCTGCTGGTGGTGGTGGGGGGCGGCGAACTGCCCCATGCCCAGCCGGTGCGCGGGGTGGTGGTGGAGCCCGCCGGCGCCGTCGGGGAATCGCCCGTGGTTCATGGCCATCATGTGTTCCGCCATCTCCCACCTGGAAAGCGAGCGTGTTAAAGAGAACGCCCCTCGATCACCGGCCCGAGGAAAGCCACCGCGCCGCTCGCTGTCCTCTTTCCAGGGTGAAATCTCCCTACCGCGTCTCTACCGTGGAGTACAAAGGGAGAAACGCGAGCGGCGCCCGCCCTGCGAACGCCCCTCTTCCCTCCGCTCAGCCGGCGCGCGGCGCGCCCGCCCGCTCCAACTTGTGCGCACCATAGGTGGAGTGCGGCACCCGGCACAGCCGCCTCCTCCCGGACGGGGGCCCCGCGCCTCCCGAGCCCTTCGCGTGTCACAAGCGGCGTTCGTTCAAAGGCGCTCCTCCAACTTGCGGAGAGCGAGCAAAGAATCGGGAAGTCCCACCCCGCCGCTGTCAGCAACTTTTGGAATTAAGTCCCAATTAAAAAGAAATAAATTCAGACACCGAGAGGCACAGATAAGGGATTAAGCCGCGCAGCCGAGGAGCACCTTTTCTCGCGTGTTTAAGCGGTCGCATTTTTCCTGCCGCACACAAAAGGGACGCACGGCAGCAGCTGCCCAACCTCCGCACTCACCTCCCGGCTGCTTTCTTCTTTCCCTTCAAAGGTGGCGGTGAAATCAGTCAGCAGCAGTCACCCCGCATAGAGAGCGCTGCCCTCCTCTCCCGGGTTGACGTGACGGCGGGGCTCTGCCGCTGCCGCAGCCCTAGCGCCGCTCCTCACTCCTCTGCGAGGCTCATCGGCACTTGCCAACAATGAGCTGTGTTTCTTACCCAGCTTTGGCCACAGCTAATATAGGATTTCAGAAGGGAGGAGCAAAACCCTCACAGGCAACCAGAAGTAAAACCTGGAGCAAGCGAGGGGGGGGGGAAAAAAAAACAACAACGAAAACCAACCAACACCCAGCGCGCACACATACACGCACACGCAGGGACGCATACACGCGCAGAGCCACGCAGGACAGCATCCAGAGGCCCCACTTCCCCTGATCGGTCCACACGTGTGTTTGTGGGGCTCCCCCGGGAACAAAGCGGGGCTCCGCGGCGGGGAGCGCAGCCCCGGCAATGCTACAGAGGAGGGCGCTGCCCGCCGGCACAGCGCGGCCGCGGACACGCGTGGGGCCGGCCGCTAAGGCGGCGTCGCCCGCTCTCAAAGAGGCCCCGCTCCGCGCCCCTCCCGGGCCTCCGCCGTGCAGGTGTCCGACCCCGGACGCGGACGCGCGTGGGCGCTCCCACGGGCCGGCGCCTCTCCCGGCGGCGAGATCCGAGATCCACCTTTTTTCACAGCCGCGCTGCCGCATCTCTCCCTCCCGGCTTCCCTCCGTACCCGCGTAGCCCCACAGCGTATCAGCCACCTCGGGTGTCCGGGGTGGGTGCCCTTCCGGCGATGCCCATTTTCTTGTTTACAATCCATGTTCTTAGAATGGAGAAGGAAAAAAGAACGTAGATAATGCGGGTGAATGCTTTGTGAATATGACCGTCCTGGCTAGCATGTCCTCTGCCGCTCCTATCACAGGTTGCCCCGTTCCACCCTAGAGGGACAAGTGTGCCCCAACTGCCTTGAGAGCAGCAGTACTGCACAGTGCACCTCTGCTCCAAACCCACCCTGCTCTGGAGGGCTGTTGTGCTGGAGGAGCACACAGATGCTGTGGGATGGGGGAGTCCTACTGCAGGGGAGCGCTGGATGTTGCTTTGATTTCAGCTTTCACCTGGCTTTCTCCTCTCTGCTTTCCCTTCTTGAGTGCCCACATGAATACCCTTCCCCAGACAGGAGGGATCATCCACTCCTCTTTTGAGGTCAAAGCAGACATCATGTAGGCTGAGCTGGAGATTCTGCTTCTCTGTGTACCATGCAAAGACACAGCAGTGTAAGAGGTGCACAAGTGCTTCTGCGGAGGAGATGTTGGCAAAGGCCACAGGGGTCACTAGGAAGTATGGGCATTTGGCAGCCCTCCTGCCACCTTTTATGTGGATGAGGCCCTCACCTGGCCACAGCAAATTAAGGAAGAGCAGCAGCTCCACCTTTCTCTTCTGTGATGGAGACAGAGGAAGGAGTTCCACTCGACTATCCTTATGGGCCCCTTCCAATTCAGGATATTCTATAATTCTCAATTCCATGATTCTGTGAAGAGTAAATCCCTGCATGGCCGCTGCAGTCCTCACACTTACAAGACACCAGAAGAATACTCCACTCAAACCCCAGCTGAAATGCATGGCAAGGATGGAATTAAAGCCCTGGGAGGAAAGGGAGTGCCTTGAGTTCCAGAGTTACCTTGAGTAAGTGACCTCACCCTGCAGCTCTCTTTCCTGCAGGGATTAGTTAGGATGTCATCACAAAGTTGTGTTTTGCTCTTCTGATGCATGTTGAGTAGGTACACTTTTGGGAGAAGCTGTTCAGCAGGACCTCCAGTCTGGCTCAGGGAGGTTTTACAGGGCAAAACAATGAATAATAAGAAGATCCTGCTCCATTTGGCAAGTTGTCAGCTGTGTATCATGACAAGTGGTTTGTTTAATGTCACATATCCATGGTGATATCGGTATGCCTTTTTGCTCTCCCTTGCTTTGAGTTTTAGATCCTTTTCAAAGCCAAGCACACATCATATCACAGCCCTGCAAATGCCCTTTCCTATTTTCAGCTTTCAGATGTTGGAAGCTGGTATCAGATGCCAAAGTGAGTTATGGAGAATTGGCAAGAGACTGCCAGAAGCAATAGAAGGCATGTCAGAGCCTCTGTGACACCTCACTCATACAAAACACATCTTCAGGTATTTACAGCCCACATGCAGTGAAGCAGGCATGATGGAGCTTTCTTCATCAGGGGCTGCGGTGTGTTGAGATAAAGCTCAGCAGAGTGATACAAGACGTTTTCATTGTTACTGGTTTGTGGCTGCAGCACAATAGGAACACAATCAACTGGTTGCTTTCCAGGAAATGGCTGGAAGACTTGGTGACAGGCAGCTAAGGGAATGCAGGACAAAGCATGAGACCATCATGGAGCTGGTAGCAAGCTGGATCTCATGCATGCCACCTCCTGATTTGAGCCAGGTTTATTTAAAGCTATCCTGTCACCCATAGTCTACAAAGGCATCTGCATACCTGAATTGGCTCTTCAGTCAAATAACAAGAAAGGCAGTGCATAGTTGGAGAATGCAGGAAGTAGGCAGGGTGAAGATGGAGCAGCAAAGCTCACAGATTGCTGTGCCCATTCTGGAAGAACCACTGAGAACGATTAAGCACAGCAATAGAAAAGCAAGGAAAAATGGTCCTCGCTCGAGTGTTAACATTTTATATCAGAAACTCACAGGGGAACAGAGCCTGATTTCTGGCTGCTGCCCTGCTCACTCCTTCCAGGTTGGAACACTGCTGGAACAGAAAGGAAAATTATAAAGGATAATCCCAGACGGTGTCTTTCCACATATTCGTTAGAAATGTTCAAGTCAAATGAATACATATGGTTCTAGGGATCTGCTTCTGAAACCAAATGAACAATGAATTTCTGGGAGATTTGGATCTCCAAGTTTTTTTTTTTTTTTTTTTCTTTTTTCTTTTTTCCCAACTCCAAATGTAATCTGTAACTCCCTGTGACTTATTTCTCCCACATCACCCCTGGAAGTGAGTTTCTATGTGTTCCCTCCCATGCTGATACAAAGCAGTCAGGAAAACCCAATTCAGGACATCTGCTAGGGTTATCTGATAGGAAATTTTATATTAGAATGATATCCTGGAAGAAATGCCCTTTGTGTAGAAATGATTAAGCTATTGTATTGGAAGACAAGCCATTATTTTCTGGCACCTCTCACTTCTGTCCTCATCACTGCTTCCTTCAATCCCACCCTTCCCTGCGCAGTTGAAGGGAAGATGCAACTGTGGTGCAGGATGGCTCCAGCTCTGGCTCCACCAGCTGCATGGCTGCTGCCTGTTTCACAGCCCATCCCTAGGAAAAGCAATGAACTCAGCATTTTTGTTCCAAATAGGTACCCAGGAAGCACAGAGATCTGTTTTGGTCTGTCAGCCTTTCCCCCCTTTTATAGATCAGTGAGTTTATTGCCTATGGGGAAAAATGCAAGGTTTTTGACTAGAGGAGGTATTTCTTTTTCTGACATATTTATTGAGAGACCTGTTATTCTTAAATGGTTTGGGATGGACACAAGGTTATCTGTGGGCCTGGGTGTGAGATCCTCCAAGAATCCAGGTGGAAAGGAACCTTGGCAAGTTCTGCTGCTTAACTAGCACCAAGACTATGGCAGAACGAATAGAATTAACTTGGTTCAATTCATTCAATACAAGCATCCTAAAACCATCACAGCTCTCCACAGTCAGTTCCAGACATTGACCAGGTGTTCCACAGAGCTCAGTGTAAGCCCTCCTGTTTCATCAGTCCTCTCTCCTTGGGAATGCTGCAGGTGATGTGCCTGGCACACTGGTCAGCAGCACAGGTGTGGAGGAGGTGACCCCAGTGGTGGGTCACATTTGAAGGAATTACTGGAAAGATGTCCAAGCAAAAAAAATCTGTACCATGTTCCTTGCACCTGGCTAGTGTGGGAAAGTGTGTGGAAATGTAGGGAGACAGAGTGTGTGTGATCTCCATCAGTCAGCACAGGGCTCTTTTTTCCTTTGCTAGGTTTCACAGTGTAATTGATTGCTATTTTTACTGGTAGTGGTTATTCTGCTAAGAACAGTGATTAGCAGTCTATTTGTTAGCAACAAATCTTTATGAAAAGCAAAGAATTACTCAGAGCAAGGAACTTTTTGAGCCATTTGGAAGTGCCTTTGAGGATTTCCTTGTCTTAGCCAGGAACAGAAGATGTATGAATCAAAATGGTTTTCTAAATTAGGGAACATGGACTATGCAAATTGTGTTGCTCTCTCTCCCACCCACCTTTTCCTGTTTGTTTAGATGGCTCAAGATAGTAATATGCTGGTGTGTTTTGTAATGGTGCTAATGAATGTGGCTTTGCACCCTTCATCTATATTGTCTTATATGTGTGAGAAAGTCTTGGGAAAGATGACAAGTTCCATCACTTTGCTGTTATGTGCTCTTGGTGCAGTACTTCAAGATTTCTTAAACAATTATGAGGTTCATCCATAAGTGTAATTTTATTGCAAAGTATTCTCTTTGAAAATAAAGTTTTGTAAAAAATAAGAACTCTTACTAAGAACATTATTTTGTGAAGAGGTTCAGGAGGATGTAATTGTACAAAAATAAACTCATAAATACACAGATTACTGATCAAGCATCATCCCATTGTATTCTATCACTCAAAATCCCAACGTGGAACTTTTTGGACCCTCTTTACTTTCAGGCATCAATGGTAAAAAGATATTACAAAAGTAAAACATTCATGTAACTTTGAGGAAGTGGTAGGTAGTAGCTTCTGCAGCCAAATGACAGCAGGTTCAGATTTAGCACAGAGATGAAAAGCAGTCAGAAGTGAGGCTGTATGAACAAAATTTTGTTCCGTTTGTCCACTGAGACAAGTAACAATAATATTACTTTAAGTCAATAAAGGCTTCTTAAAAATGTTCAAGTAGAATGAAATGTTTTATTTAATTAAAAACTGTTAGAAAGTAGAGTACATACTTCTAAGTATGTATTAGACCTGGATGATTACACACCAAGTGTTCATTGCATACATTCTGTAATTAATTGAACTGGTAGTTAGCAAGTAATTTATTTAAAGTCCACAGAACAATTGAAGTTTGTTATTAGGGTGAACTGGAGTTCTAAACAAAACAAAACAAAACAAAAAAAAAGGAAG